CGGAAGAGCCTTGGATTACAGCCTTTGCCTCCGCAGATTGAGAAGTCACAGCTGTGATGGCTTGGGCATATGTTGCGACTGCCACCCAGAAAGGAAGGCGAAACAATTATTTCTTGCCTAACCGACCGGCAGAAGGCCCAGAGGTCGGCCAAGATTAACCTGGTGCAAATATATGGAAGGAGTCTGCCTCAGACTCTACTTGTTTTCTGCAAAAGCTCAGACTCTGGCACAGAATCAGCGACGTTGGAGACACTGTCTGACGTCTACCGCCGCGACCCGAAAGGAGAAGCGGCAATGGAAGATGAAAGTGAAGATAAAGACTGGCTATTAATTGTGGACAATATGATATCCAGAAACTACTACCATTTGCGTTGTATGTTGGGTTTTCTGCGATGAGTCTGTTCAAATACAAATTGTGTAAGGAACGTATTCCATTTAATATACAAAAGTTTATAGAAAAGCGCTAGTTGTATGGCGCTCAGCCTTTGAGGAACGGAACTCGAAACTGCGCGATAATTTGTCGTATACCTAACTGAGCGAAATCTTAAGCACTTTGAGTTTAGATGCTTTAATGCGAAAACCGCTGATTCAACCTGATGCTGAACTCGCTGTCAACAAAGGAAAAGATATAAATTAATAAGTACAACTCTGGATTACTAGATATATCGATTATAGGTACTTTACAGAAACCAGCGAAACAGGAGCGGCTAGCAGAGGCATTCTAATCTAATATTCAAGCAGTCAACAGCCTGAACTAGTAAGTAAACGAGTAGCAAGTCGCTAACCCGCGAATAATACAGAGAGCGTGGTAATTTTGGCATGGTCATGTCAAAGCTATCGACAAATGGCCCGGCTATCAGAAGCGTGCGCCACCTGGCTGAAATCTGCTCAGACCAATCTGACAGTTGACTAACAATGATAAATAGGCTAAGCATAATGAGAAGCTGCATGACCTTATAAATTGACCATACCTTTCCAACGATGGATTCTTCTGCAAGTAACCTCGAATAACTTTACGGATCATGGTATTTTTTCCCATCAGGAGTTCTGCTCTGCCACGCAGCGCCAAGCGAATCTCTTGCATCTGGCGCGAACCCACATTGTCGATTCCAACAATGAAACATTTCGGAAACTCTTCCAAAAATTTCTGAAAAATTGTTCGTGTTCAATCATGCTGATTGAAAATCAATTACAGCAAATGACTCAAAGCCTTGGACGCTAAACAGTTTGCAGCTTTCTCAAACTGAAATATAACAAAAACTATAGAATCTATTAGCCCATCGAAAAAACCGTCACTGTCTACCACATCAGACAAAATTTAATGAATATGAAACAAATTATCATCTGCAGCATATCAAATACATTGGCGATCACATCGTTGCTTTTGACATGTATGTATTAAAAATGAAGGAACTACACAGCGACCTCTTACCTGGCTGGTTAAGTATTATACATGAACAGAGATGATTAGAGCCGTAGTCAGTGAATTTTTGACGTCGAATTTCATTACCGACAGCTTGACAACATACTTGATAAACTAAATTAAGGTCCACTAAGGGTCGAAGCGTTCATTGAAACGGCTATTTAAAACTTTGGCATCCCATATTCACATATTCGGGTAGACGGAAATTTTGCATGAATTTCCTGAACAATTCTTCTCAATCAACTTGAAAGTGTCAGTGAATAGCTTATACACCAGTTAACTGAAACATTATTAGTTGTTATAGGCGCATTAGCTGTCGACTTCGTTGTCGCATGTAATTTACGTAACTTCATTTTTACTGTGACTGGTATATCATTACGAAGTGCGAGCAATGACTTAATCAGATTAATAATGCTGGGCTTACTTCAGCCGCCTTATAGTCGAGGGTAACATAAATCTGAACAATCTTTCTGAGCATAACGTTCATCACAGCTACCAACTTAGTCGTAGACACAGCTATTCTAACACCTGCTTAAATTTCAAGCCACTTTAAACTACAGAATCCTAGCAGGGAACACGGGTTTGTTACAACAATCTTTATAAAACTGATTTCCAATAAGACTTCGTCTATAATTGATGAGAGCTACCTATTGCAAACAACATTATCTAAGATGCCTACAGCATGACAGTACACGAATTACGATCAATAAATTCACTGGCGTCATGAAAGCTGCTTGCATATAAACAGATCAGCACGCTTAACATAAACGAGCTGCATAATACACTGGAAAACGATGGAGGAAATGCCTTCGATCGCAAAAAATCGAACAGCGACAACAATGAATTACTGAAAGCAGATATGAAAACAAACTAATATACTACACAAAGCCCAAACCGAAACATCGGTATTAGTATTAGGTGCATTAACCTATACAGACAAATACTAAGCCGATTTACGAGCGCGTAGTAAACGGTCACTAAAGGTGACTAAACCATAAAGCAGCAACAATCATAACATTTAAAGCGAAAGACGAACCGCTAGCTTCAAAAAATAGTTTGCTTTCCACGCAGCTTTGTCTTCCCTGACCATCGTGTGGAACAAGGATTGCCGTCTGGTTTAAAGACAAAGTAGATCACCTAAAACAATCACATTAAATGCTAAATCGACAAATCGGCGGAGTTTCGATAAAAATTAGTCGAAACGTTAAAGTATATAGCAAAATTACATCACTCAGGTCTAAATTCCTCCGAACGCATGCTCTTCTAAATGCATACGAAAAGCAACACAGTGAAAAGCGAAAGGAGTCTCCATGAGCGGTAATACTATACACTCGTTGGAAAAATCAACGGAACCCAACGAAAGTTATGCTACTAGGCACGAACGACGACTACTTCACCTGTCCATCGCCAAGAAACTCGTTCGTGAGAGACAATGCTTTCAGAGGGGAGCAATACGACCACAAAACTAGTGTTTCTTAAAATGAATCAACTGCAATGAACGCCTGAAACTTCATCCCTGAAAGTCACACAGCCTACTTCTACATCTAATTACAAAACACAAAGTAACACTTATTACGAGCGATGAGACTTATTCGCTTTAGCTTTCCGTAAATACCTTCATTTGAAAGGTAATATCTTCTACTTTCACTCATTTATACAATTTCGTTCAGATTTATTCATGCAATAATGTGAAACATACATGGAGGAAACTGTTATTAACCTGGATGCAGGCTAAACGCTCAACACAAACGAAAAGGTCGCATAAACCCACGTAGATCAAGATACCTAAACATGCATACTGGCAACGAAGTGCAACTTGCCAACGTACGTATTAACGTACCTCACAGTTGTATCACATGAAAATCATAAAAATTACAGTACATGTACCTTCGATAGTTGTAGACTGTGCGTTTGAAAGGACTAGTACTGTACATGAATTACTTAAAATTATCAACAAAGACTTTAATATAGACTAAATTTTCATTTTCTGCCAAAAAATACAGGTTAGCAAATATTTTAAACTGCATAACTGCATTACTTTTGCTAGTAGTTTAATGATTTAACCAACATTTGTCGCAAAGGTGATTGATTTGCACAACACGTTAGAACAACGAGATGCACAGGTAATTCTATGACTTGAGATGCAAAATTCTTGCAGATTTTACTTAGAATTCTCATCATCGTGCTTGCACTTCTCTAGTTTCTATTAAAATATTAAAATAGTAAACTGAAG